GGGAGGGGGGGGGAGACCCCCGGGATGGGACCCTTTGACGGGACCCCCGGGATGGGACCGGCAGCGGGACCCACCGGTGACTCCGTCCCCGAGCAGCCTGGGATGGGGAGAGGGGGGGGGGGTCATCTCCCTGGGGGATGGATGAAGGGGTCCCCGGTTGTGCTGGAGCGAGCGCTGTCACCCCTGGGAACCCCCCAGGAGAGAAAGTTTTTGGGGGGCATCCCCAGAGGTGGGGAGGGACAAACTTCACAGCCCCCCCCCGGCGACAGACAGCGCAGCCCCGGCCTCCCCCGGGACCCCGAAATCCAGGCTGCGTCACCGGGGCTCGGGAGTTGTCGAGGCGCCGTCGCTGTACCCCAGCCAAGGCAACGGCACCCGGGGCTGGGGGGGAGGTCTGGGGCAGGTTCTGTGGCCTCCCGGCACCCCGGAGTGTGGGGGGTTTGATGGGGAGCCGGGGTGAGGAATGGGAAAACCCCATAAAGCCTCAAGTCGCCCATGGGGACGGGGACAGGGACTTGGCCGCCCCCGGAGCAGCCCGGCAGGGAAGAGCTAAAGCCATCCCGAAGTCCCTGTGAAGTCACAGGGGGAATTTCAAGGGGGGGACAGGCATGAGGACATCCATGCCAGACGGAGGGCAGGGAGCTGGGGGGCCCGGGGAGGCGACCCACCGGCAGAGGGAAAGGGAACTGGGGAGGCAGCGGCAGCCCGGGGTGGCCGAGGCGCTGGCCTGTCCCGGCCACCTCGGTCCCTCCTGGTCACCATGGGCACTGGTGGGTGCTGCCGGGGTGTCCCTGCTGCCAGGCTCTGCGCCCACTCCCTGCTGCTGTCACCCCCTGGTCACTGCCCGGTAGCTGTGCCCGGTGGTCCCTGTCCGGTGAGGCTGTGCCGTGTGGGCCACGTCCCCCGTAGCTGTGCTGTTCGGTCCCCATCCTGTGCCAAAACGCCCTTGTCTACCACCGTCGTGCCATGCAGTCCCCGTCCTGTGGCTGTGCCATGCGGTCTGTGTCCCCTATAGCTGTGCCATAGAGTCCCCGTCCTCTGGCTGTGCCATGCGGCACCCCTCCTGTGTAGATGTACAGCATGTCCTGTGTCCCCCATAGCTGTGCTGTACAGTCCCCATCCTATAGCTGTGCCATACGGTCCATGTCCCCCATAGCTGTGCCATTCAGTCCCCACCCTATAGCTGTGCCATACAATCTGTGTCCCCCATAGCAGTGCCATTCAGTCCCCACCCTATAGCTGTGCCATACGGTCCATGTCCCCCATAGCTGTGCTGTACAGTCCCCATCCTATAGCTGTGCCATACAATCTGTGTCCCCCATAGCTGTGCCATTCAGCCCCTGTCTTGTTGCTGTGCCATCTGGTCCCCATCCTACACAGCTGTGCAAAGCTGTCTCTGTCCTGTGTCACTGTGCCATACCGTCCGTGTTCTTTGTATTTGTCCCACACGGTCTCCATCCTATATGGCCGTGCCATACGCTGCTCTAACGTGGCTGTGCTATACAGGCTAAGTCCTATGTAACTATGCCATATGATCCCCATCCCGAGGACTGTGCCATATGGTCCCTGTCCTGTTGAGCTGTGTGATGCACTTCGTGTCCTAACTGTCCTATATGGTCCCTAGCTAATGCAGCTGTTGCCATATGGTCCCTGTCCTGTGTCACCGGGCTATACAGTCCCTGATGTATGACTGTGCCTGTGTGGTCCCTGTACTGTGTGGCTCTTCCATATAGACTATGTCCTATACATCTATGCCACACCATTCCCAGCCTATGCTGCCGTGCTATATGGTCCTCATCCTATGTGACTGTGCATCTCATCCCTGTCCTATGCAGCGGTGCCATATGTTCCCTGTGCTGAGGAGCTGTGTGATGTGGTCCCTGACCTGTGTAGCTGTGCTATATGTTCTCTCCTGTGCCATATAGGCTCCATCCTGCATAGCAGTGCCGTATGGTCCCCGTCTCACCCAGCCATGCCACACAGGCATGTCCTGTCTGACTACTGCCTCTCCTCTGCAGGGACCCGTGGGGCTGGGGGTGCCCATGAGAGGCGCAGTGCCATGGGCTGGGGGTGCCCAGCGCAGGTACAGAGCTGTGGGACCTCACGGGCACAGCAGGTTTCCAGAAGTGGGGGACTTTGTGCCTCACATCCCAACAGGGACCAGCGCTGCTCCCCGTGGGGCGAGTATGGTGCTGGGTTGTCCCTTCCCATCCCAGGGGACAGGCTGCTTGGTGCCCAGGTGACTTAAGAGAGGGGCAGGAATGACATGGGCTGCGTCAACCCTGAAGCCCCGTCCCCATCCACCCCCTCATCTGAGCTCCAATCCCACCTCCTCATGGTGCAATAGCCAAGGGTTTGGGGGAAAGTGTGTAAGAACCTCCCCACACCACGGGGTTCATCCCCATTCCTGACCTGGGCTGAGACTGGCCAGCTTGTTACACAAGTGCCGAGGCGGCACAGCCGGATGCAGGGATGCCAGAGTGTCGCTGCCCGTCCCATGGGGCATCTTGGGCTGCTGGAGCCACCCCAGCCCTGCACCCCTTACCCCGGCACCCCTGGGCGTTGCTCTTTACCCAAGTCCTTTGATCTACTCCCAAAAAACAACAGGCATCACCCCTGCCCAGCCCCCGACCCACCGGGGACCCGCGGCGACACCTTCCCTGCTCCCTGGTCTGGGCCACACTGGGGCGAAGGAGAGGGCGGGCGGCTGGAAAAACATAAAGTGGATTTTCTTTCTTTCTTCCTTTTCAATTTTTTATTTTTTTTTCCCCTTTCCCGGAGTACAAAAATAACAGTGCCCTTATCTGATCGCCCCGGGCGGCCCAGCTGAGCCCCCTTATCTGATCCTGACAGAATGCTGGAGCCCGCTGCCTTCCCCAGGGAATGACGGTGCCCGGCTGGCACCGCTGCCCCGCATCCCCTCCACCGGCATCCCTGCCCTGCGCCCGGGGGCGAGCCCCCCTGGCCCTGCCCGACCTCCCCTCGGGATGCTGCCGGAGGTGTGACGAGCTGCCCCGTCCTCTGCCAGGCCACGCCGGGGGCCGCATGGCCGTGCCCGCTGCCGTCGGGGCAGGAGCAGAGGGGAAGAGGGACGCGGCCTGTGGCGCCCAGATAAGAGGCTGTTTATCTTCCTCCCGATGCTGCCGGCCACACGGCCGCCGCGCCGGGGGGAGGAAGCTCCGGACAATAGGTGGGCCTGCGGCAGCGTCACTTTGGGGGGGGGGTTGGGGGGTCTGTGCTGTGACCCCGCTGCCACGGTCGGGCCACCCCGACAGAGAGACGCGGGCTGGGGATGCTGTGATGGACATGGTGTGGCTCTTTGGTGGCTGGTGCTGCATCCTGAAGCCTCGATGCCCTTGAGCATCGCACCCTCCAGCCCCGCTCCATGAGGAATGGCTGGGTAGCCCTGGTGCGGGGTCCAGTCACCTCCCAGCAGGATGGCTGGAGCCACCAGGGATGGTAAAGGATGGGATGGACCTCAGTGGCCACCTCCAAACCAAAACGTGCCCACGGAGAGCCCCCAGCTGTGGTGCAGGGCTCCATCCCACCCAACCCCTTAGAAGGGGGGACCCACGGGTTGTCAAAGCAGGTCCCCCCACCACCTTCCCAGCGCAAGGGCCAGCTCGAGGACAGCCCGAGGGCTGCCCAGGGCAGGGGAAATGGCTGAGGCGAGTGGGGATTTACAGGATCAGGCCTTCAAACGGCTGTTTGCGCTCAGGATTTCCCTTGGCAGCCGCCCCCGGCCCCAGCTCGCTCGTGCGCGGCGCAGGGGGGGTTGGGGATGGGGCGAAGCTCACGCCTCGGCGCCCGCAGAGGATGAGCTTTACAGCCCTTTCCATACCTGAGCTTCCCGCTTTCCTGCGGCACCGGGAATGGGGGGGGGTTTCCGTCGCCGCCCCAGCGCTGGGGGCAGCCGGGTGCGAGTTTTGGCAGCGCTGAGCAAGGGACAGTGGATTTATTTTTTTTCCAGCCCGGATCCGAGGGTCATTAACGTGATTGCGCCGGGGGCCCGGCAGCGGCAAGATGAGCCCCGAGTGAACACGTAGCTGATGGTCACCCGGGGACCGCGGTGACGCCGTGGCTGGGGGGGACGCGGGGGCAGTGCCGGGGTTGGCGTTGCGATGCAGCATCCCCCCCCCCTCCCGCAGCGTGTCCTCCCCCATGTCGTGTTCCCCGTCCCCCACGTCCGCACAGAGGGGACTGACGGTGGTTTGTTTTCCGCCCAGACCCCGGGAGAGCTGGGGGATGTGACCTGCAGCCGGTGACGGCGGAGCCACCCATCACCCTGTCCTATGCCACCAGCACCGTGCCGTGGGGCTGCGTCAGCAGCAGCTCCGTGGGCACCGAGCATGAAGTCCACATCCTCAACATTGAGTGGTCCAAGGTGAGCAAACAGGGGCTTGGTGTGTCACCCCAGCACTGTCACCCCAACACTGTCACTGTCCCCAATGGGCAGGGTGTCCTGGCTGCCAAACTAAGGCACAGGGAGAGGACCCAGATTACCCTTTTCTGTGATGCTTTTGCTGAGCTTCCCCTCTCAGCGCAGCCATGGGTGTCTGTGGCTCCGATGGGGCTCTAAAGTCTTCAGAGGCAACTTCTCCATCAGCCCATGTTGCTGGGGCTGGACGTCCCAGGAACCTCTGTTTCCCTGGGGAGGTGGCCTGGTCCCCGTTCAGGAGCAGGGCAGTGCCACGGACACCCAATGGGGACAATAACAGGGAAGGACAGACAGAGGAAGGGGTGGAAGGAGGGATGGAGGGAGACACATCACTTAACGGTGGCCAAGTGAGCAGAAACCTGGTCGCCAGTGTTTGCATGACCTGCCAAGGGGCAATAACCGTGTTGTGGGTGCCCTGGGCAGCTTTTGGGTGAGGATGGGCACAGGGCAGCAGCGGGGCTGGGGCTTCATCCCCGGCTGGTGCCGCTGCTGGGTTATACTGGTGTGAGGGTTCGCACTGGTGCGTGGATTTGCACCACCACGTGGGTTTGCACGGCTGCTCCGCAGCGTGGCACAGCTCCCCCGGCACTGGCTGGTCCCCGGCAAACCCAGCACCCGATTTTGGCCCAGCTTTGGGCCGCCCGGCGCCACGTTTCCCCTCCGCCACCTCCCAGCTCTCCCAGTTCTGCTTTTCAGGGGGGAGGAGGGAGCCGGGAGCCGGGCTCGGAGCCACTGGGGAGGGTGGATTTTGCAATGGCCCCCCCCTGCCCCAGCCGGGTGTGACCTGGCCCTGGCACCCCAGCGCCGGGGCCAGGAGTGCCACGGGGTTGTCACCGGCGGCGTCAGGGGACACACACTGATGTCACGGCTGCGGCACCGAGCCTTGAGGTATGTGGTGGGGGAGCCGGGCAGGGATGCAGCTCCACTTATAGAAGAATTACTGGAAACCGCTTTCTATAAGCAGATCCCCAAGATGCAAAAAAAAAAAAAAAAAGAAAAAAAAGAAAAAAGAAAAAAAATAACCTGAAAGGCGGCGTCGGGGCAGTGGCGAGGCTCCCGCCGCTCGCGCAGCCGAACAATGGAGCGCCGCAAAACACGCGGCAGGAAAAACAACCTCCCCGACGCCCGGGGCCACCCGGGGTCCCCGGCCACCCACGCTGGCCACAGGGCCACTGCCAGGCCGGGATGCCCATGGCCCCATCCCGCCGGCCCCGTGCCCGTGGCTCTGGTGGCTGCCTCCGCCCCCCCGGCCCCCGGGTTGTTCTCCCTGCCCGCCGCCTGGCTCAGCACTTTGCGAGGAGTGATTCAGGAGGTGGTTGCCAAACTTAGTGCCTGGTGTTTCAGCTTCCCCATCCGGCTTTCCAGCTGGTGGCTGCCGGGCAGTGCCGGCCATGGGGGGCTGTGTGTGCCACCGCTGTGCCCCCAGCATCCCTGCACACTGGTACGGCCGGTCCCGAGCCTGGAGAGGCTGCACGATGCTGATACCGGGCTGGGAAACACACGGGGGGATGTCCCAGTGCCTGGGGTGGAGATGCTCCAGTCTTCAGTGGGAGGACACCCCGGTGCCCAAGGTGGGGATACTCCAGTGCCCAGGGTGGGGATGCCCTGCCCCTAAGTGTGGGGATGCTCCAGTCCTCGGTGTGGGGACACCCCAGTCCCCAGTGTGAGGATGCTCTAGTTGCTTGTGTAGGGATGCCCCAGTGCCCACCCAGTGCCACCAGTCTCTGGTGTGTGGACATCCCAGTCCTTACTGGGGTGACACTGGTGCCCGGTACAAAGATTACCCAGTCCCTGACACAAGGATGCCCTGGTGTGGGAGTGCTGTGGTCCCCACCATGGGGAATGCCCCCATCTCCAGGGTGGGGATGCCCTGGTCCCTTGCTCAGGGGAGCTGGGGGATGTTTGCCCCCCGCAGTGTGGGTACACATCCGTGTGACAAATCTGCATCCCCCAACCCAGCCATGGTTGCCTCCTGCATGGCTGGTGCTCAGGGCAAGCCCAAGGGCTCTCCCTGCCCCCTCCATCTCTGGTGGCAGGCGGGGTGGCCGGGGGACAACCAGGTAGGTGACAGCAACTGGGGTTTGGTGACCGTGGTGGTGATGCTCTCCCCATTTTTTTTCCCCCCAGGCTCCTGCCTTCCCTCTGAAGGTGTCCGTCGTGCCACGAGCTGGTGGCTGCACCCGGCAAGCGGTGCTTGTCCTCCTGTGTGCCCGCTGCTTGGCCACCGTCACCTCCCCATGCTCAGACCTGCTCGTCCACACCGTGAGTGCTGGGAACAACCCCAAGGGCAGCAGGGATGGGGGCCATCCCTGGAGATATTTGTGGGGTATCCCTGGAGGAGAGTGGTCCTCCATCCTTGGAGACAATGCTCTCCGTGCAGCGGGGAGGAGGGGACACGCCTGGCTGCTGCCGGCGGCGCTGAGCACGGGGCTGGCCGGGCAGGGAATGACGCACAGGGCTGGAAAAAGCTCCCCATTTCCTCCGGCCGGCGGGAGGAAGGTCAGGGATGGGGTTTGGCTCCAGCGAGCTGAGCCGGGGCCGGGCGCTTTGTTAGCAAAATAAACCTCCTGCTTTGTTTGCAGCTAATAATAAAGTGGGCTGAGCTCTCCCGCGTGCCGCCGGCCGCCCACGCCGCTCCCAGCCCAAAAAAACCCCCATTCATCCAGGGTGACCCCCGGCCACGATGGAGCCGGGGCTTCAGGGATGCCCGCCAGGCTTAGTTTTTCATCTCCATCCTCCATGCCAGGGGTTTTCCACACTTTCCTCACACCAGCTCAGGCTGGGGAGGGATGTGTGTTGCCCCCCCAACCCTGGCTCAGGCTGCTGCTCGCCCTGCAGGACGCCCACCTCAGCCCGGGGACCACCATGACCAGGCCTGAGCTGCCCATGACCACCAGTGAGGAGCAGCTGCTGGCCTGGGCTCTGAGCACCTACGGGGGCATCACATCCTACAGCAAGCTGCGGGACCCCCGCTGGGTCCAGCTCCGCCTGGGAGAAGGTGTGTGGGGCTGGGGGCTGGTGCTGGGGGGGACAATGGGGCAGCTCTCCCTGCTCCTGAACGGTGACAACCCATCGGGAAGAAGCTCAGTCCTGAGGGAGATGCTATGGGGACCAATGTCACCTGGCTCAGAGCATCGGGGTTGGCCATAAGCATCTCCCCACCCTTTGAGCCATGGTTGGCTTTGGTGACACCCTCCCCACCACCACCACCTTCGCAGATGCCAACAAACACCCGGAGTGCATCCCCAAGGAGCACTTCAACGCCATGCCACACCTCGAGACCGAGGTCTTCTTCCACGGGATGAAGGGCTGCTCGCGTGGCGATGCCCAGAGCACCGGGGCTGCCCACATCGTCCGGCTGCAGCCTGAGTCCAGGTACGGTGTGGTGTGGGTGGTGGGACCCTTGGGGGAGGGTGGGACATGCTCGGGAGATGCTCGGGAAGGGATTGGGGTGTCTCGGAGCCCCCCCTCCCTTCCGAGGTGCAGGAGGCTGATGCTGAGGGGTTGTCTCATGGTTTCACAGCTTCCCGGTCGCGGAGGTGAACCTGTCCCTGAGCTGTCCCGAGGGAGCCATGAACAACCAGATCCTCATCCTGCAGAGCCAGGCCAACCTCACCTGGTCCCTCTCAGTCAACAACTGCCACATCCAGTTCCTGGTAGGGCTGAGTAGGGGGTGTTTGTGTGTCCCCCACTCCCGCCAAGGTGGCTGGTGGCATGGGGTGTGGGCAGGAGGGCACCTGGGGACATTGGGCAGGGGGAGATGGCAGCCTGCTTGCTGCAAGCCCTCTTAGTGGGGACAAACCCAGAAGTCATCCCTGCCTTGAGCACCCCCAGCCCCACTCAGCGCCCCCCCCATCCCACCTACTCTGTCCCTCCCCACCATAGGTCTCCGGGGGACATTGGGCAGGGGGAGATGGCAGCCCACTTGCTGCAAGCCCTTCTAGTGGGGACAAACCCAGAAGCCATCCCTGCCCTGAGCACCCCCAGCCCCCCCCCAACCCACCTACTCTGTCCCTCCCCACTGTAGGTCTCAGGGAACTACAAGATCGCACACATCTCCTCACCCCTGCTCCCCGGGGAGCACCTGCCTGACACGGAGCAGGGCCTCGTCGCCAAAGCCTTCGAGAAGAACTACAGCGTCATCGCCTCCTACTCCATCATCCCCACCAGCACCCGCGTCAGCCTGGAGATCCAGGAGCATGGTGAGGACCCAAGTCTGGTTGGGGTGGGGTGGAGGGGGTGTCCTGCTGCCCCCACTAAGCCTCTTCGTCTCCCTGTCCCACTGAGGCAGTCAGGAGGGAGCCCACCACCACTGACCCCCCGGCCCCCACCGCCAGCTCGCTGCCCCACACGCTGCTGTTCATGCTCCAGCCATGGAAGTGCACGGATGAAACCATGGAGATCGTCATCGCCAGGTCCCACCTGGAGGTGAGGGGGGTGGTGATGGTTGTCCCCGCCACCCACCAGCATCACCCAGGAGGGTCACATCCTGCTCCAGGTGCTCGAGGTGGGTGGAAGAGGGTTGTCCCCAGCCGGTGAGTGACTGCCGGATGCTTCTCTCCCAGCCCATCAAGGACGTGGTGAACATCACCCTGCGGGACATCAGCTGCCAGGCAGAGAAAAACGCCACTCACTTTATGCTGAAAACCCCCCTCAGCCACTGTGGCACATCGCTGGAGGGTAGGGGCCATGCCAACAACGAGGTGAGGTGGGGGGCTGGCCAGGGCAGTGCCCCCAACCCCAGTTATGCCCATCCCATCCCATGGTGTGCCCTCTCCATGCCATGCCATGCCATCCCATCCCATCCCAATGGGGACAATAGACCCTGGCAGTGGGGACAACTTGGCTGAGCCAACCTTTCCCACCTTGTTGCAGCTCATCCTCAACCTGGCCAAGGGCACAGTGCTCCAGAGCGTGCGGGTAAGAGCTGGGTTTCCCGGCAAGTCCATGATGGGACCATAGGAGGAGGGTGCTTGGTGCTGCCACCAGGTGCTGGGGGTGGCCTCACCACCATTCCCACTTGCAGGTGGCCTTCCAGTGCAATATCCCGCGGGAGCTCTTCCTGCGTCTCTTCCCCACCGCCGCCTTCGAGGTGCCACAGACGGAGCTGGAGGTCAACAAGGAGGCTTTCGTGCAGGTACTGCCACTGGCTCGGTGCCCAGGAGAGGGGTGTCCAGCTGTCCCTGGGCTCGCATCCCTGATGGTGTGTCCCCCCCGACAGGCGTCCATGCGGTGGGAGGACCACCCGGCCGACCTGCAGCTGAAGGAGTGCTGGCTGGTGGCACCAGGGCAGGAGCCGGTGCTGCTGGTGCAGGGTGGGGAGGCACGGGGGGCAGGGGTGGCCGTGCTGGAGGGCCCCCCCAGCAGCCGTGGGAGGAAGGTCTGGCGCTTCCGCTTCACCTACGTCGTCCCCGAGGGTGGCCGTGTCCCCTTCTCCGCCACCCTCAGGTGCAAGGCCGGCTTGCAGGTCAGTAACCCCCACACACACACCCCACGAGGCCACCATACTGGTCCCCACCATCGGTGGTGGCAGCCTGGCCACCCGGTTTGTCCCCAACCACCGGGCTCCATCACCTGGCCAGGAGCAGCACCCTCCATCCCCAAATTGCCTGGGGGGTCCCAGTCCTGTCCCCAGCTCGGGGTGCAGGAGGGGACAGGGGTCTGCCCTCCTCTCACCCCAACCTCCATCTCTGCAGAACAACACCATCTTTGAGAAGGTCCTGGAGGTGACGGTGAAGGACAGCTGGCGGCCACCCAACAGTGAGTTTGGGGCAGGGGAGGGGGCCCAGGTGGGAATGGGGGTGGAAAAGGGGACCTCTCCCCCCACCAGCATAGCAGTGCTGATGGCCTTGTCCTCCTGCAGACCGTGGGCTGGGTCTGGCCGCTGTCCTGGGCATCACCTTCGGCGCCTTCCTCATCGGGGCACTCCTCACCGCCGGGCTCTGGTACATCTACTCGCACACCCGTGAGTATCCACCACCCCTGGGGGTGCCCACAGTGGGATGGGGAGGTGGTCCACACACACACCCCTTGCAGGATTGCCCATGTACCCCTTGGCCAAGGTCCTTGGGTGAGCAAGGGACAGGGCTGCTGTGCTGCCATCATCCATACATCATCCTCCTGGGCAATGCCACAGTGGAATGACCCTGCTTGGGGTGGCCGCAGCTCCTTGGGGTCCTCCTCCCACTGCCCTGGGGTGCCACCCATGCCCATCTCCATCCCGGGAGCTCAGGGGGCAGCTGGGAAATGATCCAGGAAGGTTCATGCATGGGGGCTGGAAGGTGGGGAGGGGGTGGGATGAGCCATGGCCACCACCGGCCGCCCTGATTCTGGTCCCCCTTGGTGTTTCTTCCCCCCCGGCCCCTCGGCGTGAGCCAGGTCCCATCTCCAAACTGCAGCCGGTTTCCAGCACGGCGCCAGCCTCGGAGAGCAGCAGCACCAACCACAGCATCGGCAGCACCCAGAGCACCCCCTGCTCCACCAGCAGCATGGCCTGACTCCCCCGGGCCCCCCCGAGCCCGCCCAGTCCCCGGCCGCCGGACTTGGGGACACACCTCAGCCCCATTAAGCTGGTTTTTTGCCCCAAATCTCAGGCCAAGCCCGGAGGGGGCCTCCGTTACTCATTCAATGAATGCTTTGGCTCCCCAAGGGCAGCCCAAGCTGGGGAGGGGGGGCACCCTGCAACCCCCCCCCAGGTCCCCTGCTGCTGGGTGCACCAGGAAGGTGGAGAGAGCAGCTATTACCAAAGCCCCCCCCCCAAGGCTCCCCATCAAATGGGGTTGGGGGGAAAGTGGGTGCCCCCAGGATGCGCTGCAGCACTTGGGGGGACCCCCCCACGCCCCTCCCGCATCCCCCCAAGAAGGCAGCGGGCACCACTAGGAGCAGCAAGAGGTTTATTGGGGTGGGGGGGGGCAGGGCTGCTGCCCCCACGTGGGGTGATGAGCAGAAACCACCCTCCCTCGGCTCCCCGTCCAAGTTACAAACTCTTATTAATAATAATAAAAATCTCTCCTACATTAAATTAGTTGTGCCCCGATACCGAGCCTCGTCGTGTCTTGAGGCTCCCACCTACAGCCCCCCCGCCCCCCCCAAAACTACCCACTCCCCCCCGGGCGCTGGTACCCAGCACAGCCTGGGGCAGCCCCCCCAGAACCCGGGGTCCTCTCAAGTCAGTCTCACCAAGGCAGGCTGGGGGGGGCCAGGAGCATCCCCCCCCGCTATGGCCAGTGTCCCCAGGGGGAGCACAAGCGAAAGGCACTGGGGTGAAAAGGGCCGGGCTGGGATGGGGTTGGGGGGTCCCGCGTGTCCCCCCCACACTGTGGCCACCTCCGAGCATCATCGGGGGCAGAACCAGCGCTTCAAGTAGAAGGAGGTGCTAAGCCCCAGTCGTCGTCGTCGTTGTCCCCCCCCATTACTGGGAGAGCGTGGGGTCGAGGAGCCGGAGGACCCCCC